GTTATAATATTTTAAAAATATTTGGATCAATATACAATTATATAAATTATAACAACAAATATTATATAGTGTAATTGATGATGAAATGGGTTGGAGCGATTATATTTTATGATGTTATCCTTTCTTGAATTCGAGTAAATAATTGTCTAATTATAAATTATTATAGAAAAGAAAATGAAGAAGGATTCCTAATCGACTAAAAGTGAAAAAGAAAAATATTATTGATTATTATTCCTTAATAAGTATTACTGATTATTATTCCTTTTCTATTGAATGATGATTATTATTATTCATTAATATGTATTATTATTTTCTAATTGACTAATTATTATTATTCCTTAATAAGTATTACTGATTATTATATAAAAGGAAACAGAAATTACTTAATAAGTATTAGATATTATTATTTCTTTTCTATTGTGTGGGCGGGAATGCAATAAAGGAGGATTTTGTTTTTTGTTTTTGTTTTTATAATAATAGTATAATTTATTATTTCCTAATTGAGTGATTATTATTATTATTTCTTAATAAGTATTAATGATTATTATAGAAAATGAAAGGATCTCTAATTGACTAAAAATGGAAAAAGAAAATATTATTGATTATTATTCATTTTCTAATGATTGATTATTATTATTACTTAATAAGTATTATTGATTATTATATAAAAGGAAAAAAAATTACTTAGGCTATGTTTGGTTAATGGCGGATCCGTCATTTTTCGCAGTTTGATATGTAGAGTTTTGTTTTAATTTTGTTATGATATCTTTATAATTAAAAATGAATGTTTAGATATTATATGAAAATATTAGTTTTCTTACACATTAAAATTACAACGTATTTAAATGTGCATCTTAAAACATGCATAATATTATTATTTTTTCTTCACTTATTTTATTTTACATTTCTTATAATTTTTGTAATCTGCCTTTTTATATTTAATATAAATGTTAGTAAAATTTCAAATTCTATTAAATATTTGTCATGCGTAATACTTTAAGTTGTTTTTTATATTTTAAAATATTGGATTTTTCTATTGTTTTCTTTTTGAAAGTTACTGGCTCTATTACATTGTAGTATCTGTTCATATACTTTCACACAAAGAACCAATAACGCCTCCACTGAGGCTTGAACTCGTAATCTTCCAAATGGAAGTCCAATCCGGGTACCATTAGACCACATAGTCCTAGTACCAAGTTGCTCCTTTATGTAGGGGTGGTGGATTTGAGCATTAGTGGAGACGATTATGGTGACATTTGATGTAATAAATTGTATATGTGGGTATTCCCATCCTTATAATAATAATAATAAATTAAACTAGAATTGAATTTTTTTATTATTTTAATTTACATATTAAATAGGTCTGAATTTTAAATGGGCAGTTAAAATTTTATTACAAGGTAGAGTTGTGTAGATGGCTCAAAAATAAATAGGTTTTTGTAGGATTTATATAATTTACGTAATAATTGAATATTTTAAAAATTGTGATACAATAATAAGGAAAAAAAATGAATATTCATACTTTTTTCCCAATGTATATGATCTCTTCTTCGTGTCCCATGTGTGACGACCATTCAAAACTTTTCAACACTATCATTTTACTTTTACTTTAATCAACAAATTGTCTCCATTACCCTGACAATGTGCCCAAGACAGATAGTTTATCAATTAATTTTGACTTATTTAATCACTATTAGCTGTTTGACATAGTTAAACAATCATGTTTGATTTTTTTATTATTATTTTTTTTGTAATAACTTATTACTCCAAATGCTAAAATTCAAAAAGTTGTTCAAAACAGTTTTTTTTGATATGTTTTTTAAGAAAGTCATTTGGCATATAATCAGCTAATAGTTATCAAACATTTTTCTACCATCAGCTAATATTATCAACTAATCATATCCACTAACACAATCAGCTAACAACTATTTAATTACCAAACAGCCCCAATATATCTTCCCCTCCCATAAAGCTAAACATGATGTTTGTTTTAAAACCTTATGTGTGGTGGATTTACATACACAGCAATAAATATGTGCATGCTGTCAAACAAAACCCTTATTTTCTTTAATAACAATTTTTTTTTTATAGGGAAAATGACACTTTTTCCCCCTAAGTTATATATTTATAGCACTTTTTTCCCCTCAATTATTTATGTAAGCACATTAGCCCCCTCAATTATTTTAAAAGTGGTGATTTTTCTCCCTGATATATTAAATTGACATTTCTACCTTTAAAGTAAACATTTTATTTATTTTACTTCTCCAACAAATTATTGTGTATATGTAGCAATGACCACGGTTCGGTTCGAACTGAACCGGACACTATAACAGTCGAATTAAAAGTTTTCGGTTATGATTCAGATCTAGAACCCAATATTTGGATTTCAATTTATTAAATTTATGAACCAAAAAAAACTGGATCATGAACCGTGAACCGGTGGTTCCGGATCCGGTTCGCGATTTTGAACCGTCTTTATTTTAAAATTTTATTTTATTTTTTATTTTAAAATAGTCTAAATTCAACAATAAATGTATTTTATTTTTTTCAGTTTGGAACATGAACCGGCCATTCCGGTTTGTGATTTTAATAAACTCTAAATATCGCGTTTTGATTATAAATTGTAATTGGAATATTTTGGTTTGGTTGCTATATAGTATCTGTTTGGTTTGAACTAAATTATAGTAATAATTTGTTGGAGAAGAAAAATAAATGAAATATTTATTTTAAATATTTATTTTAAGGGTAAATATGTCCATTTAATATTTTAGGGGAGAAAAGAGTCACCTAAATAATTCAGGGGGGGAAAGTGCTATAAGTATATAACTCAGGGGAAAAAGTGCTATTTTCCCTTTTTGTTTATAATTTTCAAATTTTGCTTTTATATTTGAGTCAAATATAATGATTGCAATTACATTGGAATGATATATAGGAGATCATCAGATCACATTTCTTGTGAGCATATAATATGACAGCTTAGATTAATAACGGTAACAAAGGTCTTGTGGTCGAGCGACATGACTGTAACTTCTTAAATGAGAGGTCTTAGGTTTGAATTTCAGTTGACTTTTTGTACTTTAGTAGATTAAAAAAATATGTATGAACATATATTACATTGTAATAGAATTGATAATGTTCCAAAAAAAATAAAAAAGATTAATAACGTTAACATTAAAGACGGCGTCCTAGGGCATTCCAAAATGTAACGTTTTCCTTAAAATGCAGACTATAATTGTAAAGCTGGTCCACAGCATATGTGTTTTGAGCATTTATTTATGTTGTTGTTTTGATTTAAAACCAATGCAAGTGTGGCTCTCTACGTGTCTCCACGTAGGAATTGAATCTCAATCTAGATTATACAATTATATCCTCCACTCTTTGTTTATATGGACAATATTATTTGTAATATCAAAATTCATCAAAATTCTTCGCCACTTAAATGTGGCAATATACGATTCGTATTTAACTCATAAGTAAATCTTTTTTTTTTTAAGTGTAACTTTTCTGATCTATATCTGTGAGACATTGAGACGGGTCAAGTTAAGATAGAAATGTAATATTTATATTGAAAAATATAATATTAATTAGGAATAAAACGTTTGTCATTTATAAAGGAAAGTTGAATACTTTTGATGAAAAATGTAATATTTTTAAATAAAAATATAAAAGTATTTCATTTTTTCTTCAAAATTATTATACTTGCCCTTATAAGTACCCAACACTTTATTTATGATTAGTATTACATTGTTCAATATAAGTATTACATTTTAATATTGACCTGACATGCATGTCTCACACAGACAAAAATCCGTGAGATTGTTTTACACAAGTTCTGTCAAAGAGTTTTATTATCATGTTGGTAAAAAATTTTGGCATCTGTAAATTTATTTAAAAATAAAAGGAGTCAATACCATTTTAATTTCTTTTTTACAAATTAAATACTTCTTAACATTTTTTTTATTTCCCGCCAGCTAATTAACTCAAACCAATAATATCAATAAGTCGCTTCTACAAAAAGTGAAACTTGTAACTTTGTGGTTACCAAGTCAATGAATTATTGATTAATTTGACCGGGGTTGCATGCCCCAACGTCTTAACATTTCTGTATATATACATATGTGTCTATGTATGATACTCATTTGAGAATTTGTATGACAAGAATGATAACAATCGTGCCTATTAATATGAAAAGGGGTAGGTAAAGTCCTCATTGTTACTTTTGAAAGGGATGGATCCAAACTTTTTAAAAATTAGGCGTATACGATACAAATATTTACCAGTTAGGGTCCAATTGCACAATATTATATGATGTGTATATAGATTCCGGAACATTATGCTTTGCAATCGTATGCACTATGCAAGGTACCCACAGAGTTGGATCCATAATTTCTATACTATAGATTCATAATTTCTATATTATAGATCTATAATTTCTATACTATAAATTCATAATTTTTATACTGTAGATTCATAATTTCTATATTATAGATTCATAATTTCTAAATTGTATAGTTATCAAATTATGAACATATAGTTCAGTGATTTGTGAATACAAAGTTCAATAATTGGGAATATGAACATTGAAAATTATGAACATAGAGTTTTGTAATTGTGAACATAGAGTTCAATAATTATGAATTTATAGTATAAAAATTATGAATCTATAGTATAAAAATTATGGACCTATAGTATAGAAATTATGGATCCAATTTATGCGCACCATGCATGGTGCACACGGTTGCACGGCATAATTTGCCGTAGATTCCCGTCTACGTGGCAAATTATTATGTGGGCCATAATTCACATAATGTTATATAGACCATTATCAAAAAGTACATTATTTGTATATTGAATGTACATCATACAAAATAATATATTTTTAGTATTCAAATAATATACTTTCGTGAATAAAATGAACATTTTTAATATATTATTTGAAAGTAGGATTTATACAAGCAATAATTATTGCGTCTACGGGGTATCTATATAAAGGCCTTATGTTACAAAGACATATAAGCTTATCATATATTATACTCGTATTAGATTGTTACAATGGCGAGCGAAAGGGATCCCCTATTGGCTCCCCCAACCGCCAATGACGAAGGGAAAAACAGAAAGAAACGTTCCTTGGACGACACCATCGAACGTTGTATCGGAAAGTTTGGGTGGGTCCAGCTTCTGCAAGCCACGCTGGCATCTCTGGCATGGATATTCGACGCCCACCAAACCTTCATCACCATCTTCACTGACGTGGTGCCCACGTGGCACTGCAACGATTCGTCTTCCTCGTCGCTCTGTACGGCTGATGTTTGCCAGCTTCCCAAGGAGGCGTGGGGGTGGGACACGCCGGCGCACACCTCCGTGGTTTCCGAGTGGGGCCTACAGTGTGCCGGGGCGGTTATTACCGGCCTGCCGTCAACCTCGTACTTTGTCGGGAGTCTGGTCGGCGGAATCGCGCTGTCCACGTTAGCCGACTCCTCGTTTGGGCGGAAGAGAATGCTGGCGTTGTCGTGCTTACTAATGAACGTGGCCGCCGTCCTCACGGCGGCGGCCTCCAACGTGTGGGTGTACTCGTCGTTGAGGTTCCTGACGGGGTTCGCGCGGTCGATCATCGGAACCTGCGCCCTGGTTTTGTCGACGGAGGTTGTCGGGAGGCGGTGGCGGGGACAGGTAGGGATCATAGGCTTCATTTGTTTCACTTTCGGCTTCCTCTCTTTGCCGGCCATGGCGTATTTCAATGCCGGGTCTTCCTGGAGATATCTCTACCTCTGGACCGGCATCCCGGGGGTGATATACTCTGTTATAGTCTATTTCGTCGCCGGAGAATCTCCGAGGTGGCTTTATGTCCGAGGACTAAAACAAGATTTTGTCCAAACCATAAAAAACATCGCGCCGCCGGAGACGCGTAACAGCATAACCACCAGCTTCTTCGGCTCCTTCATTCTAGACAATTCCGACCACGATCAAGACAGGGAGGGGATGGATTTATACGCGGCTCTAAAGCTGCTGCTAAACAAAGGGTGGGCTTTGCGGCGGCTGTTAACGGTGATGTTAGTCTCCGTCGGGACAGGGATAGTGTACTACGGAATCCCGTTGGGTGTCGGGGAAATGCCGTTGAATCTCTACCTCAGCACGACGTTAAACGCCTTGGCGGAGCTGCCGGCGTCGCTGACGACGTTCTTGCTGATAGACAAGCTGAAGCGGCGGAGCTCGGTGGTGGGGTTAGGGCTGCTGAGCGGCGCGTGTTGCGTTGGGTGCGCGGTGTTCGTGAGCGAGGAGTTGAAGTGGGTCCAGATCGGGCTGGAAATCGTGGGGTTCTTCAACGCCTGCACGGCGTTCAACGTGCTCTTGATATACACGCTGGAGCTCTTCCCGACCTGCGTGAGGAACTCGGCGGTGTCGATAGTGAGGCAAGCCATGATGCTCGGCGGCGCCATCAGCCCGCTGCTGGTGGCGCTGGGGAGAACCAACAGGTTTTACTCCTACGGGGTTTTCGGACTCGCAATCGGTGTGTGTTGCTTGTTTGTGATTTGCTTGCCGGAGACAATGGGGGGAGAAATCTGCGACACAATTGACGAGGAGGAGAGCAAGGGGAACGGAATAAGCAATGTTTGAAATAATACGGTGGCCGCCGCCGCCGCCGTAAAGTGTACCGTTTGTCACTCTTGCTTTGCATGCACACAGTAATTAAATTTAATTACCGTGATGGGCCCATGGCACTATTGTACTTAATACTTATCTTCCCAATTGTTTGTGATAGGAAATATACTTTGGTCTACAACTCATCTTATCCCCTGGACCTGGTTGGATAGGTCATTTCCTGATCTGAACCGATTAGAGTGTAGCGCCTGGCTGACTCGACTTGAAAGATTATCGACTATGTAGCTTGATGAGCCGAACTGTTACCTTAATCTTTCTGTTCGGTACCGACCTGTTTCTTCGTTCGAGACCCCAGGCACGTATACTTAGCGTCTAAGTTCATCCCAATACGCAATTGGTTAGTCAGATATACTTTTACACGTGCACTTTTCTCCTCAGCCGACCAGATTACCCAGTGCATGGAGGGTACGTGGCGCACATGCCGGTCCGTCAACAAGTGTCCCCTCAAATTCTCTATAAATACCCCGCGAGACGCGGGTAAAAGAGACTTTTTTGGCAACTTCTTAATAGCCCATCCACCTTAGCTCGGGAACCTCTGGCCTCACGCCATTAGTCGAGCATAGTACCTTAAACCAATAAGCAGACCGCATAAGGGCCGAACCCGCTCCAATCCTGTCTTTTGTACATATTCGTAGTAGACGCGGTATTTACTACATCAGTTTGGATGGTCCTATCTACTATTCTTCATTCAATCATTCCTCAGATCTTATAGGAAAATACTATGTGTACTCTTATTTTTTACTGTTAACTTTTACTCTCATACATAAAATTTTGATATAAACACTTATATTGAAACTCACATAAAACAAAAATAGTTTATCAGTATCCGCCACATTAGGAAATTGATGTAGTAAAACTGGATGTTATATATTTTTACTGTTGTTAAATCTTTGCAACAAAGTACTGTCAAATGAACCAATAATTAAATACAAGTACGGTAAACATGGGAGTGCGAACACCTTCACTTATTTGAAAAGGACGTCAGGAATAATTGAATTCTCTAGAGAGATAAAGAAGAGATATTTCTATCTCATCCTTAAAAATTTGAACGTGTATGTCTCCAACAAATCCATCTCACCTGCATGCAATTCAATTCGATCTTCAAGAATAAAGGTGACGTGGATTCTCGTAAGCTCTTTAATTTCCGATCAACTTCATCTCCTCTCCGTTATTTTATGTTTTATATTGCGCCGTTCTTTGGCTTCTTTGACTTGCCGCTGGATGGCCTGCATAATTCTCACTCCCTCACTCATCAATCATTATTGTGTGGACAATGATCTACATAAATTATGGTGACCATATTTTATATATACTATAAAATAATGTAAATTTAGTACAAAAATAATGTATATTATATTCAGGAGATGTATATTATTATTGTACTGAATGTACATTCGGTACAAAAATAATATACATTTTGTATATTAAAAATGTACTTTTTGTTATGGTTCACATAACACTATGTGGACCATGATCCACACAATAATTTACCCCATAATACCGCACATATATATCTCATTTATTGGACCTGTTCTCTTTTATATGTTTTTTTTTTTTTTTTTTTTTGGGTGTAATTTTCAATTCTATATAGCTACTAGTCATAGTCCAACAAATGCCAATTTTTTTTTAAAGTATATTAACAAATTGCATAATTAAAATGAAGCATCATATGAAAGTCAACTAAAAAGTACAAAAAATTATATACAATTTTGTGCCGAGGTTCGAACTAATTCCTGAAGAAACTTCAGAATACTCCCTATTTTCACCTCTTTTTGCATTAGTTTTTGGGCTAAATGGGGTAGTATTAAAAATGAAAATTTCCCAATGGCAATAGCTAGATAGCTACAATCCCAAATTTATGCATATTTTTTAATCAACCACAACTTTGTTACTCTTCTTTCTTGTCCGATCTGAAAATTTCTGTTAGTACGTAATTAATATGACAATATTAATTAAGGTTTTTTTTGTTATTATATAAGACTCTGTTTTGCAGAGCTTATTTAGGAGCTTATAGCTTATTTTAAGCTACTAATAAGCTATAAGTTTTGTTTGGTAATGTTTTCAAAATAAGCTCCTAGTTTAAAATAAGAGCTTATTTTGAAACGCGTTTCAAAATAAGCTCCTAGCTTTCTAACTTTTTTTTCCATCTTTATCCTTATTATTTTAAAGAAATGACATAATTTACTTTTTCTAATTAAAACCCTTTTCTTTTATCTTTTATCCACAACTTTCACCACAATTATTATTATTATTATTATTATTATTATTATTATTATTATTATTATTATTATTATTATTATATTTGCAACAATATTGCTACTTCATTATGAGATGCTAGATCATGATTATGCTAATAGTTTTATTTCAAAATGTTAATTTTTTTTTAAACAGACAAAATGTTAAATTTTAATATGTAAACAAACTAACTTAAATTTTATGAAGATGTCCTTTTTAGTCTTTTTACATTTATCAACTTATCAAAAAACTAATTTTACTAAACACTTTCAATCATAACAGCTAACTTAACAGCTCTTCAATTTTCAGTTCTGAGCTTATAGCTTTTCAACTTTCAACTCCTAGCTTATAGCTTTTCAGCTGGATTTGTCAAACAAAGCCTAAATGTTGATCAATGTTAGTCAAATGTATTTTAGTTTTTGTAAAAATAGTTTGTAAAATCTTGTATCCTAATTTTGTGAAATTGAGAAGGAGTCCTAGATGTGCCGACAACCGATGCACTTTTCTCTCAATAAATGTGTGGATAATGAAATGAGATCAAGTTTCAGCCACAATCCCTGTGGAAGACGTGATCTAGGGGGCTGTGTAATGAAAAAAATTGAAGTTGTTTTTTGTTTTGTTTTTTTTTTTTTTGTTTTTTTTTTGTTTTTTTTTTTTTTTTGGGAGAACTGTTCCACTTGATACTAGTATAAATTGTGTGAAAATCCAGATTGGTATATAATTTGTATAATTGCCATATTAGCTCAAATTATATTTTTAAAACTTACAAAATTGTTGTATAAGGTTAATGTTAAACACATGTGGTAGATCTAGTTTTTGTAAATCATTTGAACCTTGTACTTGTGAAAATGTTGGTTGATCTATAATGAAAAGTTTTGGACGTGACCCCACAGAGTAGAGAATGTTCTCTAACGGGGATAAAAAATATCTTGTGTATTTTTTATTTAACGTGATTTTTTCATTGCATTCTATCTGGAGCATTACATAGATCGAGTAACTACTCCGATCCTGTTGAATTCTGACGAAGACTAGTAAAAACTCATGTTATTATGTTAATCTGTTTAAAAGTTACATTCCTACTATTTAAATTTTCAATTTCTATTGGAGCTATTGTCTTCTATCTTGTCCGATGAACCAACTCGTAGGCAAGTCGTTGGGCAAGTGCCACTGAACACAGTTCATTAACCCCAATAGTGTTGGTGGTTGACTCAAAACAGAAGTGTTGGCATGGGCAACAATTTAAAGAATCTCCGGTATCCTGTTATTAAAACGTGATTGTTATGCAGGGCCGGTCCTGGGCTTCTCTACCTAGGGCCCCCTAAATTTGAGTGCCCCAATTATTATATATATCACTCATATACTATACAGCAGGCAATGCTGCCTGCTGTATAGTATGTGTAGATATATAATTTTTTTTTTTTATTTTTTTTTTAGTATTCGGCCCCCGAATTTGGGGGCATAATTAATTAATTATAAAAAAATAAAAATACTTATATACATATATTATATGAGTTATATATATATATATATATATATATATATATATATATATAATATTTATTATTATTATTATTATTATTATTATTATTATTATTATTTTATTTTATTTTATTTTATATTTTAACAATTGGGCCCCAAATTTGGAGCACAATTGTTAAAAAAAAAAAAAAAAAAAAAAAGTAAACAAAAATATATACTTATATACATGATTGAAAAAGTCGCTAACCACTCTTCGGGTATTTGGGGGAAGCCTAGCGCCAAGACAGAGATTAATCGACGCTTAGGTGTCCGTGTATTTTTTATTATATTTTTTAAAATTTTTTAACTTGATATTTGTAAACTATTTAATACTTTAATAGTTAAGACTAAAATATTAAATATTAACTTAAAACACACATAGCGTTTGAACAATTTAGGGTTATTTCACTCAAAACGATGTCGTTTTGAGTGAAATAACCCATTAAAAAAAAAAGAATGAAACAATAGCTAATTGGCCAACTAGGCAGTTTTGGCGGCGCCTAGGGACCTAGGCGATCGGCCAGCTCCTAGTGCCTAGGCATCGATTAATCGGTGCCGATTTTTGCAACACTGCTTATATACATATATTATATGAGGATTTGCATTCTTAACTTTGACTTTGTGTGATGTTGCAAATACTTGTTGCAAAGTAAGGGATTCGATTCATTGGAGTAGTGCAACGTATTTATACAATTGAACAACTATTATTTATATATATGAAATAGTTAAAAATGAGCCCAAATTACAATGTCGCATAGGATCTCTATTTCTATTGGAACGGTTTTGCTGTTACGCAAGTATAAGAAAATAAAATTATATCTTCAGTACTAGTTATAAGAGCTTGATATGACAAAAAGAACCAGATTCACCAGCAGTCCAATAAGGAATTGGCGCTTGGGATGTCTTGATGAGTCTATATATGTTCATACCAATATAAATAATATATTGGCCAGCTTGGGTTCTACTTCTAGTACAGTCGAACTAGTAAACTAGATTTCCCTTCATTATTCTCCCCTTTCTCCAACAAGCACAACCTCAACTTTCTGTCAAGTCCTAGCTAGGTACAACGTCGCACCTTCATCATGAAACTCGAGTAGGTCCACCAACTCATCAATGGTCTCCCATATATCTATATATAGTCTTTGGTTGGTCCACCACATATATATATATATATATATATATATATATATATATATATAGAAAAACGCTCATATGTGGTCATGTCATTAGGTGTGGTCGTGTGGTCGTATCTGTGTCGTTGAATCAGTTTAATCTAACGGTAGTGGTAATTCTGAGAATTTTCGCGCGTTTTGGTAAGT